AACAATCGTTGCCTGGCCACAAACCAATGAAGGATCGCCTTACCCTCGTGCTCTGCGCCAATGCAAGTGGCGACTGCAAGGTCAAGCCGCTGCTCGTCTACCACTCTGAAAATCCACGAGTGTTCAAGGCGTTTAAGGTGCACAAGACACGGCTGAATGTGATGTGGATGTCGAACAAGAAGTCCTGGGTCATGCGGATCTTCTTCAGTGAATGGGAAAATGACGTTTTTGGCCCCACAGTGAGGAATTATCTCACCGAGAAGCAGTTACCACTCAAGGCCTTGCTTGTGCTCGATAATGCACCTGCGCATCCTCCACAACTGCAAGATGATCTGTTCCCTGAGAATCAGTTCATCACTATCAAGTTTCTTCCTCCAAACACCACTCCACTCCTCCAACCTATGGACCAGCAAGTCATTGTTAACTTTAAGAAGCTCTACTTGAAGGCCTTGTTGGAGAGATGTGTTCATGTGATTGACACCACAGAGCTGACCCTCAAACAATTCTGGAAGGACCAGTTCAATATCATGGGGCCTTGCGTTTGATAGACAAGGCCTGGGAAGGGGTGTCTACACTCTGCATGGCAAAACCTGTGGCCTGAGGGTGTCCCTAAGCGAGACTTCGAAGGTTTCAGTCTTGCACCTGCATCCACACCTGTGGATGACCCGGACGCTCTTTTAGTGGATGATATTGTTGCTCTGGGGCACACATTGAGTCTAGAGGTGGAAGCTGCTGATGTGCAGGAGTTGATGGAGGAGCACAGTGATGAACTGACCACCGAGGAACTCCTGGAACTGCAGAAAGAGCTTGTGCAACAGGAGATAAAGGAGCTCTCATTGGGGGAGGAGGAGGTCTGCAAGGATGCTATCCCGTCCACTGAAATCAGGGGACGTGTTGAGCATGTTTGAAAATGTGACCGCATTTGCGGAAAAACATCACCCTGATAAGGCAGTGACAACACGTTGCACGAACTTCTTTAATGACAATGTGCTGTCTAGGTTTAGGGACATCCTAAAACATAAACAACACCAAGTGGCACTCGATACGGTCTGTGAACAGAGGGGGTGAGAAAAGACGTGAAAGTGATATTGAACCACAACCCGATCCCAGTGGGGTTAAATTCCCGAAAAGAATGAGCCCGCCTGACCCAGAGGTGGAGTTTCCTTTCTCGATGTAACCCCTCTCCTCCCTACCTCCCGATCGTCTCCCTCAAGCCAGCAACGACTCTTCATAAGGTAAAGTGAAAGAACACATGGGAACAGTCAAACAAAATATTTATTTTACATGTACAGTATCATATTACCAGTGTATAATGTCATATTGTTGTTTTAGGGGGTGGAACGGATTATTTGTATTTACATTATTTTGAATGGGGAAATCTGTTTTGAATGACGTCGGTTTCACATGACGACGACGGTGCTGGAACGGATTAAATTCGTTATTCGAGGTACCACTGTACACACACTAGAGCAACCATAAAACATATATATACACACTAGAGCAACATTGAATCATATATACACATTAGAGCAACCCCGCACAGAGAGATCACCGCGCCGACCAGACGAGGGAGAGTCCGAAGAAGGAGCCGAACCCGAACCTGGCACCAGTGGCCTACCATGACGAGAAGAACCCCGAGCCCTGGCACAACCCCTCTGGGAAGACCCCCCCCCCCCATGGGACCCCCGGAGGACCAGCAAGTCCGATATCAGATGACAAGCAGACGAAGCAGCCTGGATAAACTGCGCCACAGCAGATGCCTCAAACAGAAGAGGACAAAAAGGCAACTACAATCTAAGAGCCAGGGCCCAAGCAGATTCCATGGAGGAACCCAGCACCACCTGCCGACACGCGAGCCGGGAAGCTTAGAACAGGGAAACCGCATCCCTCAAAATCGGTGCGAAAAGCTTCAACAAGGCAGCCGACGAGCGAACCGCCTAGGACAAGGTGCCGGACCCAAGCGCCCTCACATCCTCCACGAGCCAATCCGAGGACAGGTAAAGGAGGGAAAAGAACCGCAAGGCCGAAGCCAAAAGGCCCTAGGCGTGCAAGTCCTCCGCAACAAGCTCCGCCGAAAGGGAGGGAACCTGCACATGGAGCTGAACAATGCCAACATCATGTGGTAGGGCAGGGGCAAACAAGCACTCATTCAGGTACTCAAGATCGTCCCCCCCAGGAAAACCTGAACCACCGTGGAAGCTTCCCACCACTCCCGCATGCGGGAACGACAGAAGGAATGCCAGGAATCCAAAACAAACAAGGGGCAGTCCGCTTGCCAAGCAGACTCCGGAACCTTATAACGGAGCCAGAAGGGGAACGAAGTCCCAAACCTGAATTCTGAGGGATCCATCTCCGAGGCATAATCTGGGTCCTGCAGAAGGTATGCTGCAAGGGCCGCCCGCACCACACCAGGTTGGATGCGATAAGCCAAAAACCTCTGGAAAGACTGAACCGACACACCCGGGGGAACACGAAACCGAACCCAGGGAGGGGCCAACACCAAATCCAACTCGTACGGAGAGGGGGGGGGAAAAGAAAACCCCACACCTTGCAACACTAAGCCCCGCTCAGAGGGAAGAAAAATCCAGGTGGGGTCTAGTGGGGCCCAAGGCCCCCAAGTCAGCCCCTCCCCAGTCCCCAAGTCCCCCACAGCAGGACCCAGGGCCGAGTCATCTCCCCAAGCACCGACCCCACAAGACAAGGACGGTGCAGCCTCAGAAGACGGAAGGAAGGGGGCCCACTGGTCAGACCCAAAAGCTTCGGCTGGGAGACAAAACTCGAAAACCTCCGCCCCCCCCCCCCCCCGGAAGGTGCATCCCCCGAAGCTGCCCAAGTCTCGAGATCAAGAAACCCCTGCCCTGACTCCGAATCCCTCAGACGTTTCGGGGCCGGAAGCAGGGGAAGGGGGACCAGAACGAACAACTGGAGGGGAAGGACGAGGAAGTGTGGACTGAACCAAGATCGAAGCGACCCCCAAGTCCGGGTCTCGAAAAGCAAAGCGGGGCAGCCCTGGGGCATCCGGGTAAGCAACCAACCGAGCGCGTTGCAACAGACGAAACCTAGCTTGCAACACTTGCACCGCCCGTACCCGAATAGAATCATCAGAGGATTGGGTAAATTGAGTCATCAGCAAGCAGCAACACTCACAGGCCTCAGGGTCGAAAGTATCACCGACCCAACAGGCAGCGTGGCGGAGGCAAAAACAATGAAGGTCACCCCAAGACAAGGGAACCGAGCAACCCTCAAACTTGCACAAAGCGAGTAGGGACTCCGGGGTCACATCCATCGGACCCACGCACCCATTGGGGATTCCCAGGGTCCTGATCGTTTACTATAAGAGGACTCGCGCCCAGGTAGTCCCAGGCAGGGTGCTGCTAACCGGCGCCAAAAGCAACCAAGCGAACTTCTACAGCTGAACCCCAGGGACATGTACACTCACGGGGACCTGGCATAAGGCACCACCGAGGAGAACCGTAGAAAGGCAAACACAAGTGGATAATAGGGCAGAATCCCCCACAAGGCAAAAAGAAAAAGAAAAAGAAAACCCCGCAAGAGGACAGCGAACACCAAGGAACAGAGCCGGCCGCTATGTCGGGAAAACGAAGCTGCACAGCACCCTGCGCCTCTACCAGTGCAAACTGCCACTTACCCGCATGTAATAAGGGAGAAGAGAACACCTAAGAGCCCAACGGGCGGCCGAAAAACCGAACGGTAGAACGGACCAGCAGAGACAGGTCCCAAGGAGCCTGTGGAAGGCGGCCCTAAGCTCCAAGGGCAGTACTTACAGGACACCTAGGGAAGGCAGCCCTAGGTGCATGCAGCCCGAGTACTGAAGATAACTCCTGGCTCTCGCACCCCTGGAAAACAAACACCACACACAAAGCACAGTGCTGTAAAGACACTGGAGCCAGAGCACACGACCTCTGCCTATAGCATCAGCCTCAAGAACTGAGGTGTGGGTAGTCGGCGTGAAGGGGATGGGGCTCCCCCTTCCCCCTCCCGGGGAGGGGTGAGCTGCGCAGACAACGGTGCAGTGACGTGTGACGTCATACTAGTTTGCTCGTTTTCTGTTGGGGAGTTCTATCCACTAGTTCGACTTTTGGTAGCAATTTTCACCAGAATAGGGGTTTGTTTTAGGGCGCTTACCTTTCTGGGTGCCTGATCCGGTCGATGGCAGACATAGAATGCTTCCAACCACATGGAGGTTTCTATAGGCCATTGCTCCCCTTGCCTCTCTGAGGGGACCCGGTTCGTGCCGTGGTCCTCGGTAGGCCTAAGAACTCCATTCACATGACTGATGCCAAAGTCTGACATTAGCATATCAGCCTGGGATAGCTCCGGGTAGCCGACGGGGTTCCCCCCAGAAACAGAATGTTTAATTGTTCTAAGAATATAATATGGTGCACATGTAAGTGACATATATTTGAGCATACCCATGTTCCATAATCTCCTCTAATGTGTTGTGTGTACATTTTTCCAAGGCTAAGGATCCCCTTCTTCTAGCCAGAGGTGGTACTTCCTTTCCCTACTTAGCAATATTAAAATAAAAAAATTATAACTTTTTTCTTGCACATAGAGAGGGTTGTAAGGTAAATTTGAGTGCACAGCCCAGGGACTAATCTCAATCGGGTAATAACAATACAAAAGATTTACCTGTGGAATACTGTACTGTGATTATGTATACTGTGTTATGTCATTCCTGTAACTCACACCTGCTAATTTTAGCTTGTGTATGCACACCATACATATGAATGCCACATGGTAAGTGTACCAACAGTAAATGAGCAAATTTACTCATACAATCTACAGAACAAAACTTACGCGTAGATTATGCATTATTCTCAGACTCAAGTCACAACAGCAGGTTACTAGAGTCCCTGCTCATCTAAAACAGAACACTATAATGTGTCCTGTAAGATATATCAAGAGTGTAATCTCAAAATGACCTAAGAGGTAAAGCTTGAATAAACAAATGCTTTAAACAGGTGTACTAAACTAACCTAAAAGGTGAATGGTCTCCGCATTGAGGCATCGAGCCTGGCACACTTGGAGAGCAGCTCGAAGATCATAAGAGGATGAAGTAATGAGGAGTGGCAATAGTTTCTTCCTGTCCAAGTCAGCATACAACGTCACCAATTGACTGTGGTATCGTTTGCTCAGTTCACGACGACGTTCAAACAGGGCGTCCAGGTACTGCAAAACAGGTATCAATGCCCTCTATTACCTCTTTGTTGATTATTGCTATCATTTACTCACTTTTCATGTTGTATACCATCACAAAATTAATAAGTTATTGGAGATGAGCAATAGCACCTAACCTTGGAACATATAGACATGCAATATTAGAGCAACCTTGAATACACACCATGTACAGTATATGGAACCATGTACACACACACACTAGAGCAACTTTGGATTGGACTATATACATACACTAGAACAGCTCTGGAACACATACACACTCCTGAGCTATGAAGTGACCTCATAGCTGTCAATGTTAGTCAATGATGCAAAATTAATAAGAGAGGAAGACTGAAGAGAACCATGGGGTACTGCAAGAAGTCCTTGACAAGCATCAGGATTGGGCACAGAAATGGCTGCTGGAATTCAATCCACATAAGTGAAAAATAATGAAAATGGTTAAGGGAGATAGGAGACCTGTATTTAAATGTATTATAAGGGGAAGCAATTACAAGAAATAAGGTAAAATGACTTGGGAGTAATTATTACCCCAACACTAACACCAAAAGCCCATGTGGACAGAATAATATTGGCAGCATATGGGAAGTGAGCAAATGTAAGAACATCATTTAATCATCGAAACAACGGAGGCATTAAAGTCAGTATATATTGACTATGTAAGACCATTACTTCAGTATGCAGCATCAGCATGGAGCCCACAGCTGATGAAGCACAAAAAACCAGCGTTGAATGTAATGAAACGCCATTTTCTGGGTGAGACCCGGAGGCTCTCCGGAGCTATCCAGGCTGATATGGATATATTAGACTTTGGCAATGGTCAATGTGAATTGAGTTCTACGCCTACTGGGGACCACGAGCCAAAACCTGGCAATGGGTGCCTGACCGGGTCAGGCACTCAGAAAGGTAAACATCCAAAAACAAACCCCCTATTCTGGTTGAAATTACCACTGAAAGTCAAACGAGTGGACAGAACTCCCCAAATGAAAATGAGCAAACGAGCATGAAGTCACCACGTCACCGCGCCTCTTGTCTGTAGAACCCCACCCACTCCCCAAGAGGGGTGAATAGGGACCCCCAGACCCTCGTGCCAGCGATCCACCCAGCAGTTCTGAGGCTGGATATCAAAACATGTGAAAAAAATGCCGACCATAGGGAGGAAGGGTTGCCGGGGAGCCTCCGGGTCGCACCCAGAAAATTACGTTTCATTACATTCAATGCTGGTTTTCTGGAGGGAGCCCCTTCGACTCCCTGAAGCTACTTCACCAAAGAGAAGGAAAAGAGGGACGCACCCGGGAGTCATACGCCACGCGCAACTAAAATCGAAAGTAAAATGGCCCCGAAAAACCAAGCAAACAAACCAGGAAACCCAAACCCAGGCACAGGGAAGAAGGGAAACCGGGGCAACCCAAAGAGCAACCACGGACACAGAAGCCGAGGCGTGCAAAGAATGACTGAGAGCCGCAACCGGACACAACAGATAGTGCATCCCTAGCCTAACCAACCAAGCATGAACAACCCAAGAACCCTACTAGAAAGCAGACGTCTCAATCTTCGCAAAAAAGAAGGAAATGGCTACAAAGTGACAAACCAAACACCAGAGTCTAAAGAGCAGAAACCCCTGCGCCGGAGGAGAGCATGAAGCTCCCCAACCCAACCTCCAGAGGCCAACACCAACAGGAAAAAGAGCCAGAGAGAAACAACCTGAACCGATGGGGGTCACCACAAATCGAGGGGAAGAGAGACAAGAGAGAGCATCCCGTCCAATGACCAGGATAGCACAGGCAGCGCATGAGCAGGCCGGAGGTGAAACAACTCCTGAGACGGCTTGTGAAACGGTGCAGAAGAAACATCACAGCCAAAAGCAAGCTGCAGCAGCTCTGCCAGTATGCAGCAGAAGATGACGGTCTAGAAACCACGAAAGAAAGGACAAGACATCCTTAACAGAAAGCAAAGTACAGTGAGGCCTCTATTTACAATGGTAATCTATTCTCAGAGACGTATCGTAAGTTGAAATATCGTAAGTCGAAACAATTTTTTCCATACGAGAGAAAGGGAATTGAATTAATCCGTTCCACACCCCCAAAATTATTAACTTACAAATACATTTTATACTGAATACAATTTTTTTCTCTAACTACAATATAGTACACATGTTTATCTTCCCTTTATGGTGGCATGTACTTGTTACTGTGTCAGGGTGTTCTGGGGTGACATTTTGCTGCAGTTTTGTGCTTGGGGTTGCGTGTTGGGGATTGCTTGTGAAGTTTTTCGTGGTCTCTGGGGTCCCTTTTTCCTTTCCTGTCTTCAGGTGCCTGGCTTGGCCCTTCCGTGTACATGGGTATTTGTCCTCGCCTGGAATGTTTCCTTCTTGTGTTCTTTGGTTTCTTGGGTGCTCCTTCTGCCTGTCACATGGTGCGTGTGCACTTGTGTGTTTTGGTCTGTTTTCATTGCTCGTACCCATTGGTATGGGTCCTGGTCTGGTGGCAACCCTTTGCACCTTCTTCAGTTTGGTTTGTTGTGACAGGGCCTGCGACTCTGTGGGTTGGTCTTGTCCCTTTCTTTCCCATTTTGCTGCATGCCTTCTTTGTTCCTCGTCTTCCTGCTTCACTCGTCTTTGGCTGCTGGTGCTGGGGCTGTTCTGCTGGTCTTTTTCTCGTTTCCTCCTACACACTGTTGTGTGTTTTGTTTATGCCTTTTGGCCTTCCTGTTGCCAGGTTTGGGTTCCTGTTTTCCTGGCTTGTCCTGCCTGTTGGCATTTTCAGGGTCTCGCGATGTCCCTTCTCTGCAGTTTCGCGTCGGACCCGTAGTTTCCGATCTCTTGGTGATCTTGCTTGTGTTGGGGGTTTTCTGTTCGGCAGACGTTCCATCTCCTCCTATGCCAGCTTGACCTCCCGACTCTACTTCTTTGGTGGTCGCACCCGAGATCTTCCTGCGGCTCCGCCTCTTCCTAGGCTCGGATGAAACTTAACTGGGCTGATTACGTTCTGCCTCGAGTGTCTCACCTCCGGTTAGTTGTCAGGTGGATTCATTGTTGGTGTCCCACCTACATGCTGCTTCTTGGCAGCAGTATGGGGTATTTTGGCGGTCCTTCCTTTTCCTTCTGTCCCTTTTTTGGTGGCTGCGTTTGTTGGCGTCGGCTTGGCTTTTCTGGTGGGAGTTGGGGGCCGTCAACTTGCCGCATACTGTTGCCTCGTTTCGTGCAGCTCTGGTGGAGCTGCTTCGGCTTGCTTTCAGTCTTGGTGTTACATCTGCGCTGTTCGTAAGCTGTCTCGTGCGTTGTTTCACCTCCAGCCTGTTCATGCGCCGCTTGAGCCGTCCTGGTCTCTGGACAGTGTACCCGCCAAACACACACCGAAACCAAAACGTTGCTACAACGTTCGAACAAGTTTTAACACCTAACCCGTTATAACAACCAATATAACATGTTGTAACAATGTTCTAATACGTCATAAACATGTTAAGCCAAGATGTAACAACTTTATTCCAAGTTGTAACAAGCGGAAAATAGAGACAGTTACAATTTGTGTTTCCAGGGTACTCTTTCTTCTCCTCAGTTGGTGGTGACCCCTTCGGTTCGGGTTTGTTTCTCGATGGCTCTTTTCCTGTTGGCATTTGCCTCTAGGGGTCGGGTCGCTGAGCTTCTTGCTCTCCTCCGGCGCAGGGGTTTCTGCTCCTTCAGTCATGTCGATTGGTTTGTTCGGTTGCAGCCGTCTCCCTCTTTTCTGGCACGGGATAACGCTGCTGCGGTCTGGAGGGGTCCTTGGTTTGTTGGTGCTTGGTTGATAGGGCCGGCGGTGCTTCGTGTTTTGTATTCAGTTGCGGCCCTCTGCTGTTATTTGCTCCCCACAGCTTCTGTGTCCTGGGCGTGCTTTGGGTTGATCCAGTTCCATTCTTCCCTGTTCGCGGGTGAAGGTATCTCGGGTTGTCCACAGAGTTATTGCAGCTAGCCAGCCTGTGTTCTTTCCCCATGCCCATGACGTTTGTGGATTCACTGCTATTGCTGCTGTCTTGGCGGCATGTCTTTGCTGACATTCGGGCACGGGGCTTTTTGGCGGTGGTACAGGGGCCTGGCAGCTCGTTGTCTTGTGTAGTTCCCTTGCCTCCCCTTGCCTCTCTGAGGGGGCCAGGTTCTGGCCGTGGTCCCCGGTAGGCCCTAAGAACTCCATACACATGACTGATGCCAAAGTCTGACATTAGCACATCAGCCTGGTATAGCTCTGGGGAGCCTCCGGGTCTCACCCATAAAATGGCGTTTCATTACATTCAACGCTGGTTTTCTTCAGCAATCTTTTTCCAGAATAGTTCTGTCTTGTCACAATTAAACACTTGTTGGGGTAGGTATGCCTCACTTTGCACAAAATCTTTAAATTCGCCAATAAATCTTTCAGCCGCTGGTTTGTCTGAGCTGGCACCCTCCCCATGCCTCACAACACTATGAATGCCACTTGTTTTTCTAAATTTCTCAAACCATCCTCTACTCGCCTTAACCCCTTAACTGCGCTGCCTCCAAATGTGACACCCCTGCAGTGCACAGGAAATAAATTCTCTGGAAAAAATTCTCTTTTCTTTTTAAAGTGTCAAAAACCCTTCCCTCAGTATGGGTATGTAAAAAAAACCAGCGTTGAATGTAATGAAACGCCATTTTCTGGGTGAGTCCCGGAGGCTCCCCGGAGCTATCCCAGGCTGATATGCTAATGTCAGACTTTGGCATCAGTCATGTGTATGGAGTTCTTAGGCTTACCGGGGACCACGGCCAGAACCGGGCCCCCTCAGAGAGGCAAGGGGAGCAATGGCCTATAGAAGCCCCCGTGTAGTTGGAAGCATTCTATGTCTGCCATCGACCGGAACAGGCACCCAGAAAGGTAAGCGCCCCAAAACAAACCCCTATTTTGGTTAAAATTGCTACCTAAAACCGAACTAGTGGATAGAACTCCCCAACCGAAAACAAGCAAACTAGTGTGATGTCACACACCCTGGCGCGCCGCTGTCTG